GAATTATTTTTCACTTTTTAGTTTGACGTGCTTTAAAAGCGTGTTTTTTATTTTTTTTAAACTATTATTTATTTTATATTTTTGAGTTCAATTTTTTTTATTTTTTTTTCGGATTATTGCATTGTGATCTTTGACAGGTGCGCAAAATTTGAATAAAATCTGTCCGTTTAAAGTGGGTCAAAATCGAGTCCGAAGGAGTCGGTTACATACATACATACATACATACATACAGGTGAAGCTAATATAAAGCGTGTAAAAATAAAAAAATTGATTTTTGTTTATTTCATGTCCGTAATATTTTTAACGATTGTTGCTGCCGAGTTTGCTTAATTTATATAATTTATTTGCGTTGCGTTAAACGTCATTTGCGTTGCTTTGAATAATAGAATTTCTATTTCCAACTACGACCTTATGGGACTACCTAGCCATTGTATATTCCTTAGGGGTATTAATATAAAAGGCGATTTTGAGCGTTCCTTTTTTAAAAGTCTAATTATAACAAATGCCAGTGGGTTGTTTAATAAATTGTCATTCGACAATGAACCATATTATTATAACAATTTACCATTAGTAGTATATTAAAAAAATATATTTAGAAATTAAATCACTTGCGGTGGTATATTTTAAGTCAGGGCTAATGCATACAATGTAAATCCCTAGGCTTTAGATTTAAACTATAGATGAACAGTAATGGAGATATTAGAGAGCGTAAATAATTCCGACACGGTTTTTTTGTTCGCGACACAATAGGATTATTCTCCATTGATCACTGCTTATTACATAAGTAGTGAGGGTGCGTAACATGAAAACTAAATTTGGTTTATCGGCTATTATGGAAAGTAGGTGTTAATGTTGAGTTAGTTATTTATGGTGAGATCGTGACTTTTCCGTTTTGAATAAATTTTTATGGTTTCGTTTGTTACGTCTATTGTAATACAAATGTTGCACGCGGTTTTATTGTTATAATAAAAAGATACGTCTCGCGCAAGAAAATTCAATATCAATACATATTTATTATAACATAAAAAACTGATTAAAATCAATTTGATAAAGCACCACAATCTAATTGACTTGAGAACCTGCATGGTCACGAAATTAATACTTACATAAATATGTATGAAATTCAATATATAAAGGCCCATTTACACGATGCCATTTTCTTGCCTGTAGCATACAATTATATCGACGCAATAAATGAGTTGCATGGTCTAAACAAAACGTAACATTCTTGATCTATGGGAAAAGTTTCCTTTCAAAACTATTATTGATGTAAACAGCACGTACAATAATTTCTTACGCAATTCTTGTACGCAATTATCTCTTTATTTGCAAACATGAGTGCAGTGAGTGAGGGTGTGTTGAATTAAATTAAATTAAGTTAAAATTAAATAAAAAATTAATTTAATTTAAATTTTTTATTTTGTTTGTGATTTCATTCGGTCCGAAACCGTCAACTTCAAATTCCTGTGAAGCATTACGTGCATCGCGGTTCTTATAATTTACATTTTCGGTATCCCATAAACACTCATGACTGCGATAAATCTTAATGAACTTTATTATATCAGCAGAACTAAATTTAAACACCTTTTTACTCATATTCATACCTCTCTGTTGGATGGTTCTAACTTTTAAGAAGACTGAGCTCTGGTGGTGAGGGTCTATTTTAAAAAACAATAATTTATGTTTATAAAGAGCCAAAGATGTTACACTATCTGCGTCTAGAATAGAAGTCCTGAAAACAAAAAACAGAAACTATCTTTTTATATAAACTTCAAACAGGTATTCTTTATATTCTAAAATAAAACTTTATCTTTACATGTGACAAGTGTTGCCTGCCATTATTACATTAATATTTACATATTCAAACTCCAACACTCTCTTCAAAAACATTTAAGACTTGAATGAAAAAAAATTTGCCAACGCAAATACGTGCAATACTTGAACGAAAGCGCCATTAAATGGTATATACGCACGTACAAGCCTGTGTTTAGACAAGTCAAAACTTGAAAGCAATAATCTCCTTAAAATAGTTGCATTGATGTAAACAAAAGGCATGTGCAATTATTTCCTTGTCAAAACTTGAATACAATAATTGCATTCAAGTTTTCAAGTGTAAGCAGTTGCATACAATTCTTGAACGGCAATTATTGCGCTTCATTTATTGCATTCAATTATTGCTCTGGTATGTACAAGAAAATGGCATCGTGTAAATGCGCCTTAAGCAAAGCATTAAAAATTTAAAAAAACTTTGTATCCCATATGAAACCTTTTTTAATAAAATCCAACAACCACAGACCACTAGAGTCACAAAGACAAAAAATATATCAAACAAACAAAAGCGATGGGCGGCAACTGGCAAGTAGGAGTTATCTGGCCGTAACCTCTTAGGCCGCGATCAACAATGCCCTCAACGAATACTAAAGTACCTCAACTACTTGTTTACTTAACTCTGAGCGACAAAAGGCCGGAACTATTGTTTGTTGGGAAAGCTTTATTTCGCGACCCCTCGCGCGCGGTGACAATAGGTTACCCAACTTAAAAATATATTATCTTACTTGACGTTGGCATTTTATGGATTTCTTGTATTACTAACGCTTTAATTATGATAAATAAACGATAGATAAAACTGAGTTATTTAAGCAAAATCACTGACCAATATTTGAAATAACATATATGCACCAAAAGTGTTCCTATACGTTTTTAAGCCGGCACATGTTAAGCATAATACAATTATATTAAATTTCATCAGTTTCTGTGTAATAACAGGTTATTATGGTTTGTTTAAATGTTGATGGGATGATGTACATTTAATTATAAAGAAAACAAAAGAGGTTATCTCGATAAAACCATAGCAATATCAAAAGTATTCTTTATCAAGTACTCCCATTAACATTAATTGTATAAGTTAAAGTTAACAACACGCCAATATATTCAATGTAATGTCCATATTAACTCTACGAGTTAGAGAGGGCGGTAGAGAGTTGAAAATTATCCTTTTCACGAACGACCTTAAGTATAATAGAGAAAGCACTTAAGCCATTTTCTCCGCCTTTAAGTGGCGTAAGCGCTTCTGTATTTGCAGCTTGTTTCGTGAGCTAGAAAATCAACCATTATAGTAGTGGCTAGGTTGAGTCGGGCCGCACTGCGTTCTGAAGGGGCAAGGGGCGGCGTTCGGGGATTTTCAAGCTAATGTGGCCATTGGGCGGCGCTAACAGCAATTAGGCTACATGCGAGCAAATGGATTGTGCATTACCGACGACATAGATTGATTTATTGGCTCCACGGCGCGAGTGGTTTCGATCACACAATTTAAACCAGCTGCGATATAGCTATTACGAAAATGGACATCGATTATTGAACGCGTTCACCGTTCAATCTAATGCCAATTACCTCGCAATCATAGCGGTCACAAACGTGCAAAATTATTTATGCCCATTCGTACTCAACCCTTCATGAAAAAGTCATTAGCCGCATAATTTTAGAATGATACCTACATTTTAGGTATGTATGGAAATACGAGTTTCGCTTTGATCGCTAGCTATCACGCGATTTGTTTATTCACAATTCAGATTGGCATGTTTAGTGATGTCGAAAGCAAAGTATTGCCTGGCTCATATTAAATTCAAATCCCTCAATGATGTCATAACGTTATCTTTTTCCTTCACGTAAAACATCACATCTGTTAGTGGCCGGGCGTCTATGTACCGGTCTATGAATAATAAATGTCCCGATAGCCGATTGGGGAAATTGAATTTTATAGTTCGTAACACATTCGAGGACAGATGTCACAAAATGCCGGCGGCGAAGCCGTTTGTAATCCAAATGTCAAATAGAAATCAAAATTGGGTCGATTGTGTCGTTAATAATTTAATAATGACTGATGGCACTCACGCATTAAATGTAGGGAAGGTGCTATCATTGTGATTAACAGAGTTACTTCTATTTGGGCGGACAATTATCGGTCCATTACCATGAGTACACAATGCTTCTCCATTAAATTATTGAATGTCATTCAAATGTCACCAATCGTGTGATAACATGCTTTTCCATACACGCGATACCATTATTAAATTAGGTTTGCTTAAAACTAAGTTTACTTAGTGAAGTGGTAAAACGTATTTAATATTGATCAATCCAAAGCAAATAGCTTTCTAATTTATGAAATACCCTCAATACTTACTAACGGTAAGTAAATATAAGAACATAATCAGGACATTACATAATATTCAAGTGTTTTCAACACTAACCGCGTTTTATGTTTCTATTTATTAATTCAATTTCCAGATAATATTAATTCCCCTTTGCAAAGATAACGATCCGTTTACGTCATTAAATTTTATTAGCTACAATACAATAGAAAAGCATTGGAAGAGCACAGACTTTTCCGGCAATGGCGACCCTCGCCAATTTCCATTTCCTTTCGCCACGAATTAGGCAGGCTATTACGTCGGCTTTCAGACGTATGACGAATCGCAAAGCCGGACGCATAACACTATAAGTAGATGTATTGTGAATCTATTTTATGCACGATAAACTATTGGAGTAATAGTAAATAATAATTACTTTGTTGAATGTGAGTGATAGTTCTGGTTACGACAAAAAATATTGTCATTTAAAATATTTTAACATGAAACTAATTTTTATTAAGAAAACACAATTAATATTAAGTTATCAAGACACACTGACCGGTGCAAAGAATACAGAATATGTAATTAAAAACTGTAGACGTATCACGTATTAATTGTTTCTCTTATAGTTTATTTAAGGTAAAGTAGTAATATTATTTTAAATTGCTTCGTATGTACCAACTTAGTATGAAGCTGCCTTATTTAGCTGGCAAATTTTAGTGTAGTTTTGCACGAAATATATGTTTTGGTTGGTTTTTGGTTACAAAATTGGATAGATTGTATTAATTTAAATAGTTCGTAAACTAGTAAAAAGTAGTTTTGAATAAAACAAAATGAGACTCGTTTTATTGAATATTCTCTAACCATTATGGCCTAATCAGTATCTCTAAGTATAGGAATTCCATCGAGTTTTGTAATTTGTTGAAGACGATTGGAGGCCTGAGTGCGCCACGTTTCCACGTCCGGTTGGTTGTCACATATCGGGTTTCCGATGAACATCACGTCTCTTAGAGATGGGCATTCCTTTATAAATAGTATCTTTTGTAAGTATATAAAACAATAAAGATTTAATTTTTTTTATAGGACAGGGAGGGGGGATAAAGGAGAAGTGGTCATCTGATGTTAAGTGATACCCGCTGCTGTCAGAGGGCTTGCGAGTGCGTTGCCGGTCTTTTTCTTCTTTAAAAAACAATTGGTACGCTATTTTTTGAAAGAACCTAAGTCGAATTGGATCGGAAATACTTCAGTGGGGGTGCTGGTTCCACATAGTGGTGGTGCGCGGCAAAAACTGCCTTAAATGCCTCAGTTGTGGAACGACGGATGTCGAGGTAATACGGGTGGTAATACGTATTCTACCTCGACGTCCGATGATGTAACTCTGCTGCAGGTATTAATCCGAACAACTCTTCTTAAAATAAAAAAGAACATTGAATTTTGAACGGTTTGAGTTGGTGAAGTATCTGCAAATGTTTTGACTACCTACTTGCATAATTACCTACGCAGTAAGTTATATTTGAGTTTGAAGGCCCAATGATGCCTGGGACAGGGGCATTTGATGTCAATGTCAATTTTTGAGTAGGTATTCAGAACAAATTTTATCTCTGTTGAATGTTTTTCAAGTTACAAATGCAAAAATATTTGTCCCATCTAAAATCAAAGAGTAATGTTCATTACTAAATTTTACCCATTTGCCTTTCTTCGTTACCGCGGGAAGAGACGAAAGAGTACTTCAGTTTAATGACAACAAGTTTATAGTACATATAAATAAACTAAATAGCAAAAATACCTGTAATCTATTAAATTCAGCCCACTCCTTCACCACGTTATTGGACATATATAGCACTCTCAAAACCTTCATAACTCCGATACCTTTAAGCTTATCTATCTGGTTATAACTTATCCATAATTCTTCAAGAGTTTCAGAAACAGTTTCCTGAAAATATTATGTTACTTTCCATGAAAAAGTATGCAAATTCAGCCTTGATATTTGATAGATATCGTAATCTTAACATAATTATATATATATGTTATAATTATCCCTGTAATTTATAAACTTTGAAGTTATTTTCCCTCTAGCTCATCCGGTCTTTTAAGCCCAGGACGGAAAATCATGGCTTCATAGGATTAAAAAAAAATACCTATTTAACTTAAAAACGCATTATTAAATTTACGCTAGGCTGTAGCCGTACTTTAACCTTATTTTTAAACGTAAGCGGTCTTATTACAAAACGTAAAGTTCACCACCATTCTTTTTATAATATCGTAATTATGATAACACACAATAGTAACTTTAATCCACATTTTATAAGGTCTCAATTACTTATAAAATATAAAGTCTAGTTTATTTATTAGTAATGTAACAGGAGCAAGTACAAATTATTTTAATAATAATATTTTTACTTAGAACAAACTTACGATTCCCGCCAAGGATTTAATGTAGTTCCTGCCCAAGGATAGAATCTTTAAGCTTCTCATTCCAGCGATCCCGACTATTTTATCGATCATGTTGGATGAGAGACTTAACTTTCTGTAACAGACAGGAAGTTCCTACAATTTCCATAGGTATTTTGCTCTTAGTACCTTTTTGTCGACTTATTTAAATATATTATGTCTTGGGTTACTAAGAATTTATGTAATTGATAAACATATAAGTAGTCCCTTGAAGGTATTTAATATACGATGTTTCAGGTTATACGGCAACTTAAGTTGTTGGTTAATGTGTAAAAGCTTTGGTAAATATATAATTAGAAACGGTCTTAATATTAATTAAGTGCAAGTATTTCAATTTAGTATATACTTACTAATAGGTTTTTTTCATATAAAACCAGACCAACAAAAACGCATCAATGAAGTCCGTTAAAAATATGATAAATTTACTATTGCTAAAGCGTATAGCCGATGCCCGACATCAATCTTGTGTAATAAAGAAAACAGTAATATTATGTTACATATACATTTCATCCCTATATTCATCATAGTATTTTTAATAGACTGAACCAAACCATCCCAAAACTTTAAAGAAGTACCAAAAATTAGATCAAGTACATACTCGCAAGCTACAAGGGTTGATAGAGCACCATCCATTTTCTCAATAGGTGGCCATTGGAACTGCAACTCTATCACTTTCGCTTCAGTCGCATTTTCACCAGTTTTCTTCTCCCATCGAGCAATGGCTTCCTTACACGTTGTAGGCTTTACCGCCATTATTTGCAATAGTTAAATTTCAGAAAATTTATGACAGTTATTTTACAATGGACATGACAGTTTGCTCATTTCTTTTTAATAATGAACCATACGAGTGAGTGTGAAGGAGCAAAAAACTGTTAAAATAAAATAAATTAAATTGTAACCTCTTTCGTACCTTTTTTCTTTAGTTAGCTTAGTATAGGTCTACCAGAATCTGATGGCAAAAAAATTTTTTAAAAATTAGCGATTTTCATATGGCAACAAAAAAAAAATTCAGTTGTCAACTGAAATTTCGAGGAATTGTTTTTGTTTTGGCTTCAAATTTCCTTTAAAAAGTGGTGAAAATGTCGAAGAAACCTCTTCGATCGCAAGCAAGAAGTATTGTTTTCAATGTTTATCAAAGAATACTTGATCAACAAGGTGCAGAACATACACAATCATCGATATTGAACCATGTGCAAGCGTTGACTGGTTAGTAGGAATGACACTTCTTGATACTTTGGTTTATTGGATTTTTCGTTAATATTATATTATGTTCTTATACTAAACTTTGGTTTATTTCAGGGGTTTCTAATACTACCATAAGACGAATTGTTGCTGAAGGCAGATCTAATAGAGGAGTATTTAGTACGCCCGGTAAAAAGAGGAAAGGTGGCAGAAAACAAATTAACTTGGATAGTTTTGATTTAGTTTTGATCAGAAACAAGATAAATGAGTTTTACACTGTACGAAAAGAAATACCCACTGTCATGAAATTGCTACAAATTCTTCGAGAGGAAATCAATTTCAATGGAGGAAGAGAATCGTTAAGGTAACAAAAATGAATTTCATTTTCTTTCAGTTTGAATATAATCTAAAAACATAGTAATCTAAAAATAACAATCTTATTTTGTCTTCAGACTTATTTTGAAAGACATCGGATTCGAATTCGTGAAGTGCCAATCAAAAAGGACTATTTTAATGGAGCGACATGACATAAAGATACACAGATTCAAGTATTTAGAGCGTATGCAAAAGAATCGAGAAGCCGATGATAAGCTAGATGTGGTTTATTTAGATGAAACCTACATACACGGTTCATGTTCAGTAAACAAATGCTGGCAAAATAAAGATATTGCAGGCCCATCTAAAAGTATTTCGGCAGGGCCAAGATGGATCATTGTACATGCTGGTGGAGAAAATGGTTTTGTGCCAAACTGTTGTTTGGTGTATAGGTCGAAGAGTACATCTGCCGACTACCACCATGATATGAATAAAGATAACTTTACAAAATGGGTTACGGAGAAGTTGATTCCCAACCTTAGAAAACCTTCTCTAATTGTTATGGACAACGCCAAGTATCATTCTGTACAATTAAACAAACCGCCTACACAAGCCGACCGTATTGCTGTTATAAAAGAATGGCTTCAATCAAACAATATCCCTTACGATGATAATTGGCGTAAATGTCAATTACTGGAAGCAGTGAAAAATCATAAATCTGAACCTAAGTATCAGATAGATGAGATTTTAAAATCACACGGCCACGAAGTCTTGAGGCTCCCACCATATCATTGTACGTTAAACCCCATAGAGTTAATCTGGGGAATAATGAAACAAAAAGTTGCAGCTAAAAACGTCAATAGACCTGCAAGTGATATAAAATCGTTAACAGAAGAAGCTTTCTCTCAAATAGGGATCGATGAATGGCGAAAATCTTGTGAACATATAATAAAAATTGAAAATCAGTTCATAGAACAAGATCGGTTAATTGAGATGCAGGAGGAAAGGTTTATCATAAATACTGCGTCTTCCACGTCTTCCTCTTCCGATGAAGACTTTTTTATGGATGTGCAGTATTTGGCACCATTTTCAAGTTCTTAATTAATTAATAAACTCATGAACAGAGTAATTTGAGTTTTCATCTAAGTTTCGAACCCCATTCGACTCACACAATCAGACTATCACACACAAAATCAGCCGCTATAAGGAAAAAAGTATCAAAACGTTTTACTCCAATTTCCCCAGTATTGCTAGCGTCAATTTCTTTTTTCCCTTTTTGCCATCAGATCCTGGTAGACCTATAATGGTATTTACTTTTTGAGGCTGTGGTCGCTGTCACTCTTATGGAAACTCTCTGAGAAACCACGTGCACGAAATATTTTTTTGCGATGTTATAAATTATCTCTTTATTGCTTATCATTTTATTTTTCCGCCTGAATTCCTCCAATTCCTCCTACTGCACAGAAAAAACATCCCACTTCAAGTAAAACCGAAGAAAAATAATTAGGTATATTTTAGAAGTATTTTCTAAAGTAGTACCGCAAAAGTATTATACAATTAATTTTACCATCTTTAGATATTCAAGTTATAAACAGTGCAATAACAAAGATATTTAAACGAAATATTTGCTTTGAGAAGTATTATAATTCCGGTCACGTCGGAGGGTCGTCCTGGTTGGCCGGCGGTAATCACGTCGCGCCCTCACGCCTCCCGTGGGTCGGCAGACCCCTATGTTGATATAATACATGAATTTCAAGTGCACGGATTACACGACTTCTTTGATTTTTATATATACAACGATTTACGTGATACTTCATATTTTGTACACTAAAAAAGTGCATCAGTCATGCAGTGCATGTAATCTGCACCCAATATTTGTACCAATGTTCTATTTTAATTTTTTGTCTATGTGCGCACTCGCTCTTACTTGTCTTTACCTTTATAGGGTTGAAGCGACACTACATTATTATTATTCTATTTTTTTACAGTGTTGGATAGTAAGGCATCGCGAAGAAAGCGGAAGATCTTAGTACCAAAAATGTACGACATGTGACATAAACAAAATGAACAAACAAAAAAACAGACTGATCACGTACTTGCGTAAAAAATTAGATAGATACTGGAATTTTTTGGGGAATCGAACGCGGAATCATCAAATCGCATCTGTGTGTAAGCTACTATAGGCCAGCCAATATAAATTAGTGTCAAATACTTTTTTCACACAAATACAAAACCAATCACAAACTATGCACTTAGCTATTAACAAAATGGATCATGAATAATAATTATTAGTATAAGGTTGTATGCAAAGAGTTATACAACGCAATTCCCTTTGCACAATTGATAGGATTATGATTTCGATACAAATATTTATTGCATCTCTGAATGGACTCTAGTCATCTTGCGCTTTTTGTCGACACACGCACGCACGTGTTCTCGTTGGAGTTTGTATAGCACACGTGTCGAAGCTTATTACCACTAATCCTTCACTAATCGACTGAAAATTATGTAGTAAATCCCTGAGAAACTCATAGGTTTTACGTATAAACTGATGTATTTTACAACTCTTACACTTTTAGGATATATCTCCGAGTTTTAGAGCAATATTCTAATTCGTATCTCAAGTCATAATCTCGTCTTGAGCACTGCCAAATTTCTCAAAATTCATAGAGAAAAATGGTTTAACAGTTCTTAAAACTAGATTTAAGTTTTATTGACTTTCTAGAATATGGTCAGTTTAATGAAATTTACTTGTCAAAAAAAAGATTTGATAATGTCCTAAAAATTTTAGCTAGCATAACTACTTTTCGCTTTCATTTGATACTCCATTTGGGTATACATATTTAACAAAATTAGTTCATTCATCTTTAATTTTGTCTCCCGATACCCCTTTATTTTATAATTATTATATTAATATAATAATAATGGCTTTAAATATTTTGATAAAACATGTTTGTGAATCATCGTCGAAAAACGTATTTTCTAAAAAACCGCATCTAAATCGATACACCCGCTTAAGAGCTACAGTGCGACAAAATGACACACATAGTGTTCGTATCATTCGTAAAATGTATCACCCCTTTTTTCCATCAGGAGCTAAAAATATCAAGAAACGTTTAAAACGTATCGTGTTGTATACATAATAAAAAATAAACATAAATTCGGGATCTATTTAAAAAAAAATTCAGTTATTAATAAAAATTTTCGTGTTATCTAAAAAATTAATAGTCTTCCACGAATTGTCTGTCAGGTGCAAGTATCCAATTTCTCTTATTGTACCTAATGTCTATCTGACAGTTGAAAGTGACAAATCGTAAAGTATGTATTTTGTAAACAAGTTGTCCACGGCATGTATATAACCTCAAATTCTTTAAAAAAAATATTATTGTAGAAAGATGGAAGACTTACAATTAAATATATCTACAACAAAAAAGGTAAATATTAATTTACTGAAATAGTGATCTATATAGCTTTGAATAAATTTAATTAAAATGTATTTATTTAGAAAAATAGCTCATCTGGCCGTCCTTCTCCAAAAACATCGTCAGACTACAAGTTTTTGGCTAAGCCAAACTATTCGGGAAAGATAATAGCCAGAAAAAGGCCTCAAAATGGAATTCCAAGGAAGTTTATTGAGAAATATTCAGAAGAACCTAAAAATAAAATAGCTAAGCTATCAGATAATAATGTGACAAAGCCTCATGATCTACAGTCAAAACTACGTGATTTAAGTGAGAATAAAGGAAAATTTCATGGTAGAAATTACCAAGATGTAACAGATGACCTTGTTTTAAAACAAAAACAGAGAAGTGGTGCTTGGATATCATCATTATTCAAGAATAATCCTGATGTTCCCCGAATGGGACAAAGAGCTGTAAAGCCTGTAGTGGAAAAAGTATTTGCTGGAAGAACATTTCAAGATTTAAATTTGCATCCCCATATAGTTTCTAATATGAAACAAAATATGAATTTAACGGAGCTAATGACAGTGCAGCAAAAGGCGATTCCTGTGATTTTGGAGGGCCGGGATGTGTTGATTAGGTATATTAATAGTTTAATTTTAAAAGTATTTATTTTTTAGTACTTAAGTGTAGTAAGTACTTAAGTGTAGTTGCAAATGTTGGTGGATTTACATGCATAATTTCAATTTCACAACAGGAATGTATAAGTTAAATTTTCAGTTTATTCAATTTGCAGTGATATACTACAGTAGACAATGAGTAGTTAAAATACTTTAATAAGCCTTTAGTGCTACTATGTATATGTAGTTGAAATAAAAATTGTTATCTGTTTTGTTAAATTTAAAAAGTAATTTAAAATGCTTTCTGAATAAAAAAAAATATTTAAACAAACCTTTTCAAAGGTATTAATTTACTAGCTTACCATGATTACTCTGATATATCATAAAAACCACAACAAATTATTTGTACTGTATAACAGATCTCAAACAGGCTCAGGAAAAACCTTAGCTTATGCATTGCCAATAATTGAAGGTTTGCAAGCTATAAGACCTAAAATAAATAGACATGATGGTATAAGAGTTGTGGTTGTTGTGCCCACTCGAGAACTAGCTGTGCAGACATATGAACTATTTGAAAAACTTCTTAAGGTTTGTGTCTTCATTTGTCTATTTAAAATACTTACTTACTTTTTTTTGATGGTTTTCTGTATTTTGAATTTTCAATATATGTATGAAAATAAAAGTAAAATTATTAGGTATAAACAAATACATAAGACTAAATATCTACAGCCATATTAATAAAAATACTTTTTTGTTTGTTCATTTTCATGTTTTATATAATTTTAGTCATTCATATGGATAGTACCTGGGTTATTGAGTGGAGGTCAAAAAAGGAAGGCAGAAAAGGCAAGATTAAGGAAAGGGTTGACAATACTTGTTGGAACTCCCGGTAGAATCAATGACCATCTCAGGCACACACATTCATTAAATTTTGCTAAACTTGGGTAAGAATTGTTTGTACTAAGAGTTTGTATTGTCTATGTATTTAGGTACATTATTTAGATACTTAGCTGTTTAATCTAATCCAATTAAAGTAAATGATATTATTTTTCTATATGTATGACAAACTAATTAGTAATAAGAGAAAATAGGAATAAATAAGCAACAACGGACATGACAACATAAAATATTTACTATACAGATGAGATAAATAAAGGGAAAATATCGATTTTTAATCGAATTCCACTTCCAGGTCACAATAACATGCGTTAATATTATATTAATGCATAATTTTTGCGAATCCTTCTATAATTTCACATAAATTCAATGTTTGATGCCGCCTTATTTTCTATTGCAATTAACGATATAATATGTCGGAGGAAATCTTGTCCAAAGGTCCCGGAGATTTCAATGGTGCCTTGTAAAGAATCAGCCAATTTTCGTTGTCGTTTAATTTCTTTTAAATAGTTATCCCTTTTGACCGATATTTCGCCAAGGAACCATAACAGAAGAATACGTGAAAAAGCTGTCTCGCTTGGGCAATTTAATTTTACCCTTTTTCTCTTTTCTGACGTTGTTTCCGCACTGCTACGTTCGATATTTTTGGATATTTTCAATTTACAACTATCAAGATTTTAGATATTCGGAATAGGTACTTACCCAGATTTTCCTACATTCCTTGTTAATGTTTGATAAATCTTACGAAATGGAAGTGTTCAACAAAAAATCATAGATCTCATCTCGCAATCTATTTTTCATTGAGTTATTATAGATTATACCGTTGCCGTTGTGCTTCATGCCTGAAGCTGTGTATTATATTCAATATGTTATGTTCATTATTTGGGTTTCTTAAGGTGTTTAATATTGGATGAAGCTGACCGACTATTAGACATGGGTTATGAGAAAGATGTAGCTGCAATTGTGAAAGCTATTGAAGACCATAAAAAGGCAGCCACATACGATCCTATGGCTTTAGTTAAACAGACAATAAACAAAGCACCTGAAAAAGAGGAGACACTAATTGAAGATCCAAATAAAGAAGAAATGGGTGATAAACACCCATTAACAGATGTGTTTTTGTCTACTGAAAGACAGACAATATTGCTGTCCGCTACTTTAACGAAGGTAAAATAAATAATAAAAAAAAAGGGTGCGTGTACTTATGTACGCGCGTAAGAAGTTATACTTCTTTGGCTTTCTTTATTTTTTTTAAATATAATTAATTAATATTTAACGTAAACAATTTAATAATATTTAATATTTAGTATATTATTCAATTATTAATTAATATGAATAACAATTATTATTATTATTTATTTTTTTATTATATTATTCATTCAATTTAATAACTTGGTATGTTTCATAACCTTTTAACTAAGTAACAATAGCTCTTTGTGAAAAAACATTGCTAAATTTCTTTGAAAAAGTAATTAAAACTCCTTTATTTGTTTAAAAGGTAAATGTCATTATGGTCATTCAAAATTCTTGGCATAGCTGCTAACTTCACGCATATTCTATTTCTTTTTACTTGTAGATTGTCTTATTCCCATCTCGCTCGCGCACGCTATTGACAACTTTGTGTCTCAGGTGCGCGCGCATGGTAAAATTTCACTCTCATCAATTTTTCATAACGCGCCTAAAGAAGTATAACTTCAAAAACTACAATAATTACAAATTAAAAGTTACTAATTAATTTTGTCTTGTTTTAATAGGCTGTAGAAAACTTAGCTGGAATCACAATGAAAGAACCTGTCTTCGTAGACACATCAGATGGTAAAGCAGTTGTAGCTGATTCACTCAAACCTAATAAGAAAGATGAAGTTAAAAGTCTAAAAATCGCGGCACAACCAGAAGCAGTGAGTCCGGAAATTAAGTTAACTAAACAAAAATCTGACGAAATCTCAAATAATGCTAAAGGAAACGCCAACACTGGTAAGCAATCATAATATTATAACCTTTATATAATTTTTAACCCCATTAACAGTATGTTTTTTTTGTTATAAATAATGAACATAACATGAGACTAATAATAAATGCAAATGTCAGAATACATAAACTGATAAATTACCCAAAATTTTCATATGACGACAAAACCCATATTGTAACTTATATTTTTTTTTTATTTGTATCTCAATAAAAGTGTATTTAATTTTATTACGGTTTTAAAATAGTTACAGAAATGATTGGTATATTGTTATTGGTTTAATACTATTTCCTAAACGCAAATTATATTGTTTATGTAACTTGAAGTTTTGAGTATTATAAAATTGTTTTTGTAGGCATCAAAGCATTCAGTGGTGCAAATCATCCAGAAATATTTGGTACCGAGACAACAGAAAATAAACATAAACCGAAAGATGACAAAAATGATAGTGATTCTGACTCAGATTATGAATACTTTAAAGTACAAAAAGAATTAGGCGAAGACAAGAAGAATGAAACAAAAAAAGTTGACGAAAAGGAAGAACAAGAGGAACAGCCAAATATGTTTGAAAATGCTTTAAAAACAGCAATAGTTGAAGATGAACTAGTCCTGCCATCCACAGTTAATCAGACATTTATATTGATACCTATGAAATTGAGATTAGTTTCACTTTGCTCTCTAATCGTTGAACATTGCATTTTAAACAAAAAAGGAGGGAAAATGATCGTGTTTATGGCAACATTAGAAATGGTAGATTATCATTCTGAATTGATTGAAACTGTTTTGAGTGGAAAGGATGGCAAAAAAAGGAAGCAAAAGAAGGGGAAAAGTGATGAAAAGGCTAAAAAGAAGAAAGGTGATGATGAAGACAAGGACGAGGTAGATATTTTAAATATTATTTCATGTTTTAGTTATGAAAAACACACATTTTTAAATGATCTTTCCATGTTTGTAGTTACTAGTGTCATAAACTCTTCTGACCTAAGATTCCTAAGAATTCCTTTTGTACATTCAAGCTTACCCTGTAACGTGTGATCCTCTAGTGACAGGTCCGATTACAATCTTAAGTTTTCGTACTACGTAATTCCTCGCTTGCGTCAAACGCTCTATAATAAATATAGAACAACACATCGAAATTTGAACAATGTCGGTCGTTCTGTGCGATTTTGAAATCTGGACTTTGTTAGTGTGTGTTACCCTAAAAGTACCAATTGAAGCAAAGTAACATCATTAATAATGGAACGAAGTAGTCAGGTTTATAAAACAGCTGTAATAAATTTTACAATTTTAGTATTTTTGTTTGCATTACGCACAGCATTTTTAATATACTAGATGAAAACCCGGCTTCGCTCGGGTGAAATTTGACTCATAATACACATCTAGGTGTAAAATGTAGGTAGATATTTCTGTAGTCATCGATTCTCAAAGAATATTAAATATAGATTCGTATAGCATCGTTCGTTGTGTTTAATAAATATAGTAAATAAAAACTGCAAAAGTTTTTACACAAATTATTTTTATTTTAAATCAACATTCAAAATAAACTAAGACTAAATTAACAAAACATATTTATAAGGTTTACTCTCTGTAAAACCCTTTTTTTTAAGCACTGTCTTTTTCTCTACTCTACTAAGTACTTACTAATTTTAAAAATAAACAATTAAATTGTGTCGATAAACGATAACAACCATAGAAAAAAGAATACTAATCATAACCATAAAAGTTGAAGTTTTAGTTCAAATGTCATTTAGTTTCGCATAGTGATTTATTCGTTTGGATCACACACATGCCGAAAATCAACTAAGACTAAATTAACAAAACATATTTATAAGGTTTACTCTCTGTAAAACCCTTTTTTTTAAGCACTGTCTTTTTCTCTACTCTACTAAGTACTTACTAATTTTAAAAACAAACAATTAAATTGTGTCGATAAACGATAACAACCATAGAAAAAGAATACTAATCATAACCATAAAAGTTGAAGTTTTAGTTCAAATGTCATTTAGTTTCGCATAGTGATTTATTCGTTTGGATCACACACATGCCGAAAATCAACTAAGACTAAATTAACAAAACATATTTATAAGGTTTACTCTCTGTAAAACCCTTTTTTTTAAACACTGTCTTTTTCTCTACTCTACTAAGTACTTACTAATTTTAAAAATAAACAATTAAATTGTGTCGATAAACGATAACAACCATAGAAAAAAGAATACTAATCATAACCATAAAAGTTGAAGTTTTAGTTCAAATGTCATTTAGTTTCGCATAGTGATTTATTCGTTTGGATCACACACATGCCGAAAATCAACTAAGACTAAATTAACAAAACATATTTATAAGGTTTACTCTCTGTAAAACCCTTTTTTTAAGCACTGTCTTTTTCTCTACTCTACTAAGTACTTACTAATTTTAAAAATAAACAATTAAATTGTGTCGATAAACGATAACAACCATAGAAAAAAGAATACTAATCATAACCATAAAAGTTGAAGTTTTAGTTCAAATGTCATTTAGTTTCGCATAGTGATTTATTCGTTTGGATCACACACATCATGCCGAAAATCAACTAAGACTAAATTAACAAAACATATTTATAAGGTTTACTCTCTGTAAATCTCTTTTTTTTAAGCACTCAGTCTTTTTCTCTACTCTACTAAGTACTTACTAATTTTAAAAATAAAAAATTAAATTGTGCTTCTTTTTTTCTTTTTTAGTGCCTTGTAAATTATCTAAGATTTCCTGCCAATTCGGATTGCACGTAAATGTTATAAATAAGTCTGGTTTACCATACTTGCATACAATTGCCATAGAATCCTGATAATTTTGCATCATGTGCCGAGGACTTCCCACATAAGTTGATGGCAATATTATCATTTTACCAATGCCTTGACCCATTTCTCTATGATTATTGTACAGGCTATCCATTAAATTGTTATAATTATTGTCAGCTCTGAGCTGTTTTTGATTCATTCGAAGAAACAATAATCGTTGAGATTCAATCCTAACATAGGCCAAGACACAATATTCATGAAAAAGTTTTTCGGCGTAAAATAATGGGCTAAAATTTTTAAGAACAGCAAGTGTAACTGATAAAATTGTAACATTGTAAGACGGCTTCGAGCAGTTCGACTCGATACTTATTTTATTTAAATGCAGAAAGTTTTACAATCCACACATTTGTGACAATGTTTACCAAATGCAAGGAGATTCGGCTGTTAACAAAATGATCAGGTATCATCAAACAAATAAATAATAATAATAAACGAAGACAGAGACACGACCAACGATACAGTTTATGAAATACTTACGATTTTCGGCATGATGTGTGTGATTCAAACGAATAAATCACTATGCGAAACTAAATGACATTTGAACTAAAACTTCAACTTTTATGGTTATGATTAGTATTCTTTTTTCTATGGTTGTTATCGTAATCGGCCAATCTCAGGTTTAAAGAAAAAACGCATAACCCTTCAAAGAGTATATCATAAAAAGTGACAAAACCAATATGGCGACAGCGGTTTGTTTGTCAGTGCCATCGGAATTTAACGAAATTCTCCATAATCCGAATTTTGCGGATATATGTTGTCGACTCAAAATCAATATTTTTTTATGTTTTGTTATTCATATAAGGTTTCGATCGAGTCTACCGTACCCCTTGACGAAATTATTAATATAGATTAGTCTTGCCATTGTGAACGACAGTGCTACTATTATATTTATAATTTACTAGGCCCGACTTGTTTTGTACACTTTGTGGCATTGGTAGTTAACTAAAACAATGATTAAATATGATATAGCTTGAGGGACTTAATAAAGGAGATCGGCAGGCCTCTCCTAATAGATGAATGTGCCCATATAATAAGTGTAGTTCACTGGTTTAATACAAATAATCTTAAGCTAAACGAAAAGAAGACAAAATGTGTTAAATTTGTAACTACAAATGTAAAAAGTAGTCATTCTCAAATAATAATTAAAGATGAGGAAATAGACTTTGTTGATAGTGCGGTGTTCTTGGGAATTACTTTAGATAGTAAACTCCGGGGGCGACACTTTTTAATTTATGTTATTATTATTAATTACTTAAAATGTCACATGGGACATGGTGTAATGGTTGCAGCTCCATACAAACAATTTGTAAAACAAAAAAATGCCGATTAAAAAGAGGGGCGGAGAGTTTATTACCAGTTCTTCTCTCCCGTTCTACGCCCTTGATTTGAGAACTGGCAGTAAATGTAAAATAAGAAGCATTAATATTATGTATTTCTTTACTGACAAGTCATAAGTGTACATTTTGTTACCTATGAGATTAAATGATTTTTTACTTTACTAATAGATTTAACTAATAATTAGTTTACAATCTATTATACCTATGTCTTACTAATTATTGAATCAACAACAAAAAACGTTTCTGTCTCACACATGTTCATGCATTGTTTCACGTTTTGTTACCAAAGGAATCATCAGACGAGTACGAAATAGATTATCAAGCACCTGCCGAAGGTGGCCTTGTTCCAATGGAAGTCGATGTATTCAGCCTACACGGCTCCATGCCTCATGAGCAGCGAATGGAAGTTTTCAAACAATTCCGTACTGCAAGAAGAGGTGTGTTATTCTGCACGGTAAGTAATTTTGTGAGCTTCTTTCCGTTGTATCTATATTACTAAAATAGTGTCAGTTATAAATTGTATTATTTTCATTACAATAGTGATATGACTGGTAAGTGACAGCGTAATAATTATTGTACCATCATATATTTTTTACATACAACAATTGAACATAAACTTAGTGCGCGTAGTTGAGAATACTACTTCCATTTAGATTGTATTTCATTTTTATTCAAAAACTCTTTAGTTCAATCCGGTTTAAATATGGATTGGCGGAGATGCTACTACAATTGTATATTTATTTCATTTGAATTTTAAATTAAATCGGTTTCTTAAGGAAAACTAAGTCTTTCACGGTTCAAGGGGCTTTTAAAATAAAAACCATTTTAAACATTTATTAACCTTATATTATTCTGTTTGTATAAACACGAACTCATTTAAGCGTAACGGTTTTAGTTTTGTTGGGCGTAACCATCATGCAATTGAAATCTTGAATCCTTTTTTCGTTTTTAAACTCACATAAAAATTACTTTAAATTCATGTGATTACGTTCCTCCGATAAAAAAAATATCTATATAATTGACGGCTACAATCAGTACGATGTCATGTGACATTTTAATCGTTAATGTAATAAAAGTTATTACTAGAAATAATACTTTCAAATATTAAATTAATATATAAACCAAACACGGGATATAACTTCCATGTCAACATCAAATTGTAAAAACTTTACATTATAATCTATCTTCCGTTAATGTTAACTGTCAACAATTATGATCGGCACGGCTCATTATATTTGACAAGATTTGAAAAAACTTCAATACTTCGAACTAGATTTCTTATTCATTAGTGACTATGGAACCTAAACAATTATTAACACGTCATCGTCGATTCGATTAATACGTGACTGAGAAATAAAAAATCAATATTTTTTATATTGGGTAAAATAATGATCGTTATTTTGCTCCATAACGCTTTTAAAGCCACGTTGTATACAGATTATTCTCAATAATACAATTTATTTTTAATACTGCTATAGGCATTTAAATTCAGATAGGAGTTAGGACCCAGCACAGATTACTAAGTTATCTATAACAATACATCAAATAGCCTTCTTAGAAAACATTGCCATCGCACTACTGGTTCCAGTATTGACCACGAATCAGATGAGTTCTTAAATTTTGAGGTCAATATCAGATAATATATATTATTATAATTGTATAATTAAAGTGACATAAAAAGAATAACATCGTATTCCTAAAATTAATTGCTTTTGTATTACCGAGACCATCAAACATTTTAATAGTTTAATTTAAGTTTAGCAAAAAATCTTGCTAAAAATATAGAGGTTTAGTACGTGTGAATATGTACTGGCATTAATTATCAATTTGAATGCGAATTTATAATAAACCAGCCTTTATACGTTATTAAAAATTTGTAGTTTAAGAAACTTCTACTTTAATTAACATTATATTTTATTTTATTAGTTAGTTATGTTAGTTATATTAGTTTAACCCATGAGGGGTTGTGTTTAGAACACAATTTTGCTTCTCAATAATTTTTTAATGATTCCTCTTGCTTAAATTTGTTTGTCATATATTGTCAATAATAATGGATAAAATGGGAACCATGCTATGTTATTACGTCTTCATAAAAACTGACAATTTATATTTGACATGACACTTGACTACTTACCTGTCATATGTCATTTCAAACAATTATTTCACATATTACAGGTATCTAAGTTTTAAGGCTTATGGTGAATTCTCTACGACTATTAGTAAAGATAAAAATGACTCGGCGGTCTGAATTTTAATTATATATATTTCTTGTGTGCGTGTGTATGTGACTGAACTCCTCCTAAACGACTGGACCAATTTTGATGAAATTTTTTGTTGTCAAAGGGATCGGGAATGGTTAGATCACAAACACCCGCAGAGCACAGTCGGTACTTTCATACTTTGCTTAATATCCTAATCGCTTTAAATATCATGCAGGACAACGTCTGTGGGGTCCACTAGTAAATTTATACATTTTTAGGTTATAATGATACTTAAATATTTTCTATAGGACGTAGCAGCACGAGGCATTGACGTGCCCCGAGTGGACTTGGTGCTACAATATTGCGCCCCAGCATCGGCTACAGATTATGTACACAGGTAAGAATACCTACTTTTTTATAAAAAAGTAAATTGATCAGTTTTAAAGTACCTACTCAGAAAAAAAGAACCCAAATAAATTACTTTTGTTTAATAAGTTAGTTCCTGTCACTCGCGTGTTACTTTGCTTATGAGTAATAGTGACAAAACTTATATTTTGTGAGTGCGTCTAACTTACCGCTAAATAAAATAAGCTTGTCTAAGGGAATTTTATATTACGATTCGTATAATGTCATTCAATACATTTTTACTGTTGAACACCGACGCTCAACGACGACTACGATTTATTAAATGTAAATAAACAAACATATATGTATATAATAAAATAGTAAAAATAATAAAAATATATTGGTTTATTTAACTTGAATCTAGGTGTTTATTAATAGTATTACAATATTATTAATAAACACCTAGATTCAAGTTGTAAAGTTTTTTAAATTGTATTATATTTAATTTTAATCAGGGTGGGTCGTACGGGACGCGCGGCTCAAGTGGGGGCTGCGACTATGTTCCTGCTTCCAAGCGAAGCGGAATTTGTCAGACATTTAGAACAGAAGAGAATAAGGTCAGTCACATGTCTGAAACGTGTAGTATGGTATTTTTTACATAGTTGAGTCACAATATACAATACATTGGTTTTTTTAACTGTAGTAGTATTCGTAAGATATGTAAAAAATTAAAATCTGTTTATATAATTTTCGAAGATTACGTCAAACGGACGAGTCAAAAGTATTGGAATCTCTTCGCTCTGTGGCACCAACCGCGCATACCGTGCAACGGGCGGCGATAGCTGTTCAAGCTAAATTGGAAAACACAGCTCATTCCTCGAAAGATTGGTTAGCGAGGGCTAGTAGAGGTAAGTAATGAGTAAAGGTTTCTCACTTGCACTTTGCTGTTAATAGACAATTCGTTAAGTTCCTTAAATCATCAATAATCCTTATAGGATATATTTAATATGTTATTTACATAATTTATATATTTATTCGTGTTAAAGTTTTATTTAAATATACTTGCGCAAACTAAAGGGTTATTTAGGATAATGATTTATTACTTGAAACAAGTTTGCGCCGGTTTCACCCGTGTGGATTTCGTATAGGTAAGATTTTACTAGACTAACAGTAATCAGTATATTAGTGTATATATTCCTTTATTAGGAATCCCAGTGTCTTTTGGATTTTACAAAAAAATATCGGTATTTATCGCATTCCTACAGATACGCGTTGAACATTTAATCATATTGGTAATTATGTATATCCATATAATTTAGGTTATTTATTTTAATATAGCCTATACATCCTGGGTTCGATTCTACTCCGGGTACCCACGTGAAGTTCGACCCTATCTTGATGCGCGGCAACTTCATTTGGGTCACGCTGCCAAATCTTTCGCATTAAGAGAAGCCCCGGGTGCGCTCGCGAAGAGGGCCAGATCTGACCTAAATTTGAAGAAAGAAAGACCAATGAACCGGCTTTCTGTGAAAGAAGAGGAAGAGAAGAAAAGACCAGGGTAAGATTAGTTCGACGATTAGCAAGTGTTAATTTTGTGGAATTATATAAACACATTATATTTATTTTATTTTTTATATTTAGTTTTTGGAATCTTTTGTGTGAATAATTTCTCATTAGATTCATAATGACAGAGTTCTCAGGAAATTGAAAATATCTTTTTGTTGCTTTAAAATTTTGTGAAACCACAGTTTTGGTTTGGAAGGCACGTGAACCTGATCACTTATAAAAAATAGTGATATTAATTTCTTCCTACATAGTAGTTGTATACGGTTTAATGCTAGTGTCTACCATTATCCATCCATATTCCATTGGTTATCAAACAAACATAGGTATTTTGATATATTATTTATTATAAAATGCCCTTAATTATTTATTATAGGTTGCCCAAAATGAAGCCTGGAGCGTTCGGAAGCAAAATTGTCTACAAACAGAATTCCATGCACACGGCTAGTGAGTTCGACAGTGGCCTTCCTCCACTGGATAATTACACTAAGAAGAAAAAGAAATAATGTTATTTTTAGTTGTTATATTTTATTGTAAATAAATTATGCATAAAAAATGGTTTAGTTACTATTCTACTTAATTACATAAAAAAGGCAATCTACGGTTCTTAACTTGTTTGATATACACGTTTAGTAGTCAAATAGTTATTTTATAAAATATTTACAGGGGAAATATATATTTTGAGGTACAGTTACTATTCTATAAAAATCAAAAAGTTAATTACATAAAAATAAATGAATTGAAATAATTGTTTATAATAAAGTAACGAAAAGTTCTTATATCGTTATAATTTAATAACTATACACCGGTAAATACTGCATTAAATGTAATATACATAACATTATTAAACATAACGTTTGAATCCCACGAATTCTGTACCGTTTTTTTAATTGTTCGGTAATGCATCTACAGACCCCCGCGGGTAGCTTATTAAAGTGATGCACGGAGTGTGGGGGTCCGCCTATGAGGTGCAATGGATCCCTACCCACTAAAACCCAACAGTAATTGCGTTGCTGTCTCTTAGGCCTTCTTTTGTTTTCGGGTCGGCATCTGGATTACACTCCCGAACGTCTCGTTAGCCTTGGGACCATACTAGTTGTTACCACCAAGGTCGGAACTATTCTATACTAAACGTGTATGTCGAGTAAATTTTCTTTAAACCGAATTATTTACATTAATTTTTAGCAGATGAAAAACGCGAATTTATTTCAAACCTCGACTCAGTGTGAGAATATTCCTAAAGCTAACAATTCGAATGAAAGCAACACAAGGTGTACACGATTTGAAACATTCAACATTATGTAAGTACTGCATCAAAATAATAGATGGTATCATTAAACCACTAAAAATTATTTTAATATGTCCATTTGGAAGATGGATCTTGTCCAAAAATTCTAATCGAGCCGAGATAATGGAAGCCACGGCTACCGTTTCTCTGATTCACGAGTCTCGAATGAAAAATGACTTTAAACCATTAATGCCCCGTCCGGCCTTTTGATATTTAAATTTTTTTCAAGCGGCCATCATTATGAGGGCATGATTTGCGAATTTCGCCCCAGTTTTTAACATTTTTTTGTCGCTCTCATTTACGATGTTTTTATTGCATAATGACAAATTAAAAGACTATTGTTAGGCTGTTTCATGCTCTAATCTCCTCCTTTATTGGGGCCTCAATGTCTCAATCATGACGATGACAAATTTGGCGTGATGTAAGTAATGTAAAGTGTATTATTTTCACATTGTACAATGAACAATTCCTGGATAAAAGGATGTTTAAAATTATAGTATAAATATCTCTATTTAGTCTCTTAAATCATGATATAAATTCCGGGACTTTAACTTTCAGGTAGTAACTCTAACATTTCTACGGCGTAGCGCTAAGCCAGACTTATGTACGTCAAAAACTTATAGGATATTGACATACTGGGGTCAGTTCGCGCTAAGTCTCGATTCTGAATCTCACCCCAAAAGCCTGTGCATAAGCAGAAGTGTACAAATTGGCTGGTTCATATAAAATTTATTTTATCAAATAAAAGTCTATTTACCGCTTTATTGGGAACTTGTTTAGGTATTGTTATTTAGTTATTTTATTATATTTTATTTATGCGCTCAAATATCACACATGTTAAAATGGAAACAATAAAATTCGATTATTAGAAATAGTATATATATATATATGTAGTATAGGTACTTTTAAATAAAGCAATACGGGCGTGTTAAATATAATAATTATTTAACACGCCCAAGTACAAATCCAAGTTCTGTTTAGGATGTAAAGTTTGATTGCGATCTGTAGCGTGCGCTCGTCTCGGCTTTTGTTTTACAATTTTACCCAATACTATGTGCGCTGTAGCATGGTGCGGGTGACAGTTGCTTAATTTTTCTTTCAATTTAATTTTATTTGTAGACTAGAATATTCTGGCTGGGTTAAATTTAAGTTACTATTATTAATGATTTAATATATTACGAATATGGTACAGCTGAAATACTAAATCGTAATTTGTGAATCGCGGCAACTTTCAAGAGCGAAACGAAACGTTACTTAAACTGTCACCCGTACTACAGCGCACATACTATAAAGGTCTTCCTTAAGTAAGTGATCTCTAGTGTTTAAGCAAACCAGTACTTTTTAAACTTACAAGTAGCACGCGAATCACATTTTTACTAGAAAAATGCAATTACAGTCGTAAGTAAAATGTGCAAAGCTTGTGTGCAAAGTAATTGAGTTTCTGCAAAAGCAAATCGAGAACGTTAATGGTTATAAACTTATAATGTAAAGTTATTATAGAATAAATAAAAAAATATTATAGTTCATAAAGTTGTTTTGCTCGCTTGTCTTAATGTGTAGTTTTTATACAGCGCTGATGTATTTGCGTAGCATGGCTTGGCAAAGCATAGCGTTTGTGTCAAGTTGTAAACTTTTTGCTATTATATTCGTTGTTTTTAGAAAATTCTTTATCATTTAAATTAAAAGTAAATAATAAGAAACTTTTTGCTAATCACAAGTAACAAAATGTACACTTGTGAACGTCTCTCAAATCAAGGGCGTAGAACGGAAGAGAAGAACTGGCAATAAACTCTCCGCCACTCTTTTTAATCGCCAAGTAATTTGTTTTACACGATGTTTGTAAGGAGCTGAAATCATTACACCATGTTCCACATGACATCTTAAGTAATTAATAATAATAAAATAAATTAAAAACAAAGATTTGCCCTCTATCAGCAGGAGGCATGGTGAAATAGGAGCACACATTCCGGGAACAACACGCAAATAAATACATAAAAGCTATTCAAGAAACTTTATTTAATAACCTTAACTCATAGTTCTTTCAGGTTTATAATAGGTATCTACGTTTTTGTATGCGAATCAATCAATATAAGAAAAAGTAAACTTAATTAAATTGCATGTACCGCAAATAATTTATAAATAAACTATCTACTCTATTCACTACTACCACTGTATTCAGTGGTCTTTTAGAAAGCTTGTCAATAAAACCTTACATTTATTTCGCTCTCAAATAAGTAAATGTATAAACAGATTATGAAATGAGTAGTTTTATTATTGTAAAAAACTAATAGGTAGTGTCTTTTCTGTTTGTCTATAAATTAGCTGATTGATTTCTTCCTTTCATCAATCGGCTATTAGGTAATTTCGCTTCTGTTTCGGCGCTATATTTCAATTTTGTTGTTACTGTGTTTTTTAATGACTTTTTGTGCTAAAATTAAAACAAAAAATACTTTTTTTTATTCTACGCTCTCGTATTTTAAAAATACCGAGGCTATTTAAATAACTAAAAATATATTACACGTTAGTAACATAGCCCACAAAATATTATCTATAAATCTGTTACCATCAAACAAGTAATTTCGCTAAACAACATCGCTACTGCGCGGCACCTCTTTGATTGTATGATGAATTGAATCAGATTAAATAAATTGAAGCCAGATAGTAGCTGCTTTCACGCCGACGAATTCTATAAGAATTGATAGAGAATCAATTCGGTAGTGCAATCGATTCAACCTTGGTGGGTGTTCACTTCAGATGTACCTACCACGATCACGTTTTTCTACCACCAACGACAAGTATCTGTGAGGACATAATTTGATTAGTCTTTGGATATTTAAAATTTAATATTAACAACAAATTAGAAGTTGTAATACTACGAATGTGAAACACCGAAAATCATATTTAAAATATCAGGTCCCGCGAGGACACTACAATTAATTGAGAATTTAGACATTCTATTGATTTAATTTAATAACATGTTGTAAGCAAAGTGATATTTTCCAAGCCTGAATAAGTTCGCCATAACATCGTTCGACGTACCTTTCGCACGACTATATCGCTGTACCCTCAGATGTGATGAATAAATTAATAAAAACAGTTGGTCTATGCGTTGAGCGGCTAGTCAAAGACGCTTCGTCACGACCTACCGAATTATAAGCACAATGCGCCGTTGATACCGAATATTCCATATAAATATTGAGCTAATCGCCCTTTCAATGAAGCGGGCCGCTTTTTATAAATAATTGATAGCGGAGAGGCGAGTCATGCGCCGTATTGTAATAGACGAACATATTTTTTGCTGCAACTCAACTCATTAACCGTCCACATGACGGCAGGGCGGGAAACTGGCCCGTAACTAATTTTCGATGGGTTCAAGATACACTTCGAATAGTGGAACTAATCTTTGTTTGTGTATTATTAATATGTTTTTCACATGGCACATTGGCAATTGACGTTAAAATTACAATGGTTCGAGCATTTGTGTAAGGTCTTGACCTAATGTTAAGTAGCAAGACTTATATTGTATAAGAATTGGCCATTTATTCGATGAAATAGTACTCCGCTACAAACGTGGCGATCACATGCTTATCGCGTAAAAGCAGTAATTGCTTGTGTAAGGGCTAGTTGATCTAGTTCTTAGGGTAGGAAATTAAACACTCCAATTATGATTTCTTCACTATAATTCACTCACTGATTTTAAGTAAACTGTATAACTTCAAACTTGAACAAAGGAAATTGCGCGTGTGCATGTGTTACAACCTCTTTTATCATCTATTCCCCACTCCGTCACGACCATCCCACTTCGGGCAGTTGTTCGAGTCAATTCGTAACAATTCGTAAACAACCGAACGAGTCAAATGAGTAACTATTAACTATTAGACATTGTAGCAAGATTCTTAAAATATATGTTTCATAAAAATGTTTAGAATTTATTTAAATAAATATTAAAAGCTAACACTTGCTTCAAAAACAACTTAGTACTGCAAAAAGGACTCACTTACTATAAGTCCAAATATTAATAATGCAGACTGAAAAATTGTTTATGGATTAAATTTTAACTATAAGCTTTGGTTTGGTATAAGTATAAAAAAAATACTTTGAAATACTTACATAATAACCGAACAAAACCGTCTTAACTAACGCTGCCATTTCTAGATGTTTAAGTTAGCTAATAGATTTCATCTAAAATAGATCTCTCTCTTACTCAGTTTCGCAGCT